TGTGGCATACCGCGACAAATAAGCAGTCGCGAACAAACAGCGGCGGCACTACCACGGTGAGATGGGTTTCAGGCTGGTGACCAGCCTGTTTAAAAGCCACATAAGTCCAATGACGGTGTCCTGACAAAGGTCGATGTGACTGGCCTCTTAGAACTAGAGTCACTGACCCCCTCACTTCCTGCTGCCTTGCAGTTCACACTTGGTTGTGCAAAGGTTAAAGATGCGTCCTCAAAACAAAAAAAACGCCGAGTGACGCAGGGGACGTCTCTCGTACCAAACTCCCAAGGAACTTTATGATCATTATCATATCCAAAGCTGGCTTTTTCTTTCCAAGGAACCAGCCGCATTAAACAACAACAACAATATAACTGCTTACAAATAGGAATTTACAACCGGAATTGGAACTTAATTAAGAAGTTCCCGAATTTGCATCACATTTGGTCGACACTTTGAATGTGGGAGACCCGAAAATCGCGCCAACAACCAATGCTCATTTGCTTGCACATTTCGTGAAGGGTTTTAATTGTTGTCAATCCGGCCATGCAACTAGAGAGGCTGCACTAACTGCTTTTGAGCACACAAAAGGACGAGGGGACGGTTGTGAAGACCGAAGCTGACGTGTCTATGTTGTCAGGTTTTAATTATGTACAAGGGTTTTGCACACTTTAATTACTTTTCCTTCGTAAATCCTCTCTGGAATTACTCATATACATTATGAAAACGAGTCGATGAGCGAACAATTATTTTCAGATATTCCTAGTCATGCTCTTACATAACGGGTAATGGAAAACCGATTACAGAATGACAACAATTGGCTGAATTAAAGGTCATTAATAGGAGCACCACCCGCGATGCTCAATTCCGGGGAACACCGGCTGTATCTCAAGTGCGATTATGGTTCACCTCGTGGACACCGGACACAAGATCGAAAGAGAGAAAGCTTTCGATGTTGTTTATCGCATCTCACTCAATCGATCGAAGGCGGCCCGAGTTTGAACAATGGCCATGACCGATTCGATCGTCACTCGCCTACTATACAGAACAGAACGTGTCCCTTGACGCAAATGGCGAAAGGTCACATCCACTGGCACAGTACACGCTCCTACACACACACACACACACACACACACACACACACACACAC